GATACTCAGGAGGGAAGCATCGCAAGAAGAAGGGTGAGCCGCGGTCGTGTGAGGTAAATGTTAAAGTTACCATTCGAAGCCATCGCTGCGCCGGTTTGAAAGTCAAACGAGCACGACTTGAAAGTTCGCTGAACCCCCATCCCACCGTGTTGGTTCCACCATGGTAAACCCGTTTTCACGATCGCGTTGTGATGGATTTAGTAACGAACATATCTCTAACCCAATGGTTCTTATATCACTGATTACGCCGTGGATCGCCCAGCGACGGTAATCGAAACTTACCCCCCCCCCCCCCCCCCCCCCCCCCACACGGCTTGGACGTAACTTTTCACCCCAGTGGGAACTGGGTACTTGCCTTACCAGCTCACGTATCTTTTTAACGCTTGACGGTTGTCCCGCGGAACGATGGGAAACAACTTGATCGTATCCAAAGTAGCTAAACCTACAGCCGATCTTAATAAAGGTAGCTAAGATGATGCTGTCGATTTTACCAAAGATAACTAAGCTGCCACCGATCTTAGGCAAATATCTAACCTCCAGCCAATCGTAACCAAGATAGCTAATGTAGTACCCGAATCTGTCCTCACCTGGAACGGTCTAATATCGTTCCAGCAAACGGGGTCCAGTGAACTTACTGATACAGATGAAAGATCGAACTTTGCGGTCGATTCCGGGGTATTGGGGGGGGGGGGGGGGGGGGGAGACCAGCAGCACCGAGGGATCGAGATTTTCGACAAAATCTACCAACGAGATCTCGTGGTCGACTCTTGCCAAATTCTTCTTCTCCCCTCTTCACCGACGTGGCCACTCGAGAGGCGGGCGTTGCGGAGCAGAGAGAGAGAGGGACAGGGGGGGGGGGATCAATAGGCTCGTATTATAGCGCAGGATTTGCAAGCCGTCGCCGCCAACGGCGGCGGAAACCTTACGTATTCAACAGTGTGAGTCACACTTCCAGGAACGTATCCCACACCCCTCTTTTCTGTCTCTCACCTACGTACAATATGCTGCTGCATCGGCCCATTGTTTCCCACCCTTGCCCAAAAATCAAACGCTCTCTGTGCCCCGGCGTGTGTGTTTCTTCTTCCTTCCCACCTTCTCTCACACTCACAGTCGGGTTTCAACCCTATTTTTTTTCTTCTTCGACCCCCCTCCTCCCCTTCAAACGCAATCACCGTGATTTCCATTTTGATGTTCGTCTCACGGCACTTCCTGTTGGAGTGCCACTAATGACTTCTACGGTAATGGCTTACGTCTCTGTAACTTCATTCGCTTCTCTCTCCATCCATTGAAAAACTGTACTGCGAATTGAGTAGCCTCGTTCTCTCTCTCTCTCTCTCTCTCTCTCTCTCTCTCTCTCTCTCTCTCTCTAGATAAAAGGAGAGAGCACGAAGAAAGAAACGTAGTACAACAATTAATAGAAATAAATTAGTAGTTACGAAGGCTAAGTCTATGTACACAGAAAAAGTCTATAAAGTAGCTACTGGAACTAAATATATGTCATAAATCAATCAATCAATCAATCAATCAATCAATCTCTCTCCCTGTTGCTTCCCTATGAGTAACATCGGCGACCGTCGTAGCGATCCTCCCCACGTATCGCGTCGAAAATCCGTAACTTATTAATCAACCTGTTGGCTCTCGGTGTGTCCCGTTGCCAAGAAAAGTTCGCCTCTCTCTCTCTCTCTCTCTCTCTCTCTCTCTCTCTCTCTCTCTCTCTCTCTCTCTCTCTTGCTCTCGCTCTCGCTCTCTCATTTTCGGGTAATTGGAACGTAATCGTCCGATGAGTTTGGAAGATATAATACGCTCACCGATCACGGTATAGCGGAATGTTTTCGGCCCTGCGAATATAGTCCCTGGCTACATTAATGTGACCACTTGTCTGCATTAAACAAAATCTAACTAACACCAGTTTTCTGAAGCATAATTGCTATTCTTTAATGTAGCACCGTGTCATACGGCTAAATCAGAAAAAAGATTTCTCCAGGGCGAAAGTATTCCCATGACTGAATCGACCAGGAAATTCCCCTGACCTTAATCCTATTGAGAATGTTCGGGAACTCGTGAAACGAGAAAGGTCTAAAGAAAATGTTACAAACAAGACGGTTTTAACAGAAAAAAAGATTTACCAGTTTTTGGTCACATAAAGAGCCGTGGATGTATCCTTGATGGGAACATTTCGAATCTGATTTCCATAGCCGAAAGACGTATTAGCAAGATTAGGGTAATCCCCTTCAAGCAATTCGTAACCATATAGTACGTAAATTTACTGTTGGGCATTGTTTTAACGTGACCCCGCATTCTCAGAAATTTCCTCTCGTATAGCCGCCCAGCGCAGAAAGTCATCAAGAGTATCTACTGTACCCTCACTTTTTCTCTTTGTCTCCGTGTAACTTGTTACAGTCTCTTTCCAGACAAGCGAGCTCAGTTGGACAAGCGGGAGAACTCGTAGTTTTCCTAAGTTCAACGGACTTTGAACGATACCCAAGAGCGATGGCCACAGAGTCGTCGAGTTGGGAAAAAAACGAGCCCCCCCCCCCCTCGACGCGTGGAATAATCATCGAACGTAACCGTGACCTTGGTTCGAAGCTCGAGCCGCTTCCGGAGGAGGTTAATACCCGAAACGCATCGGTAACTCGGGGAAGGCTCCGAGCGTGTCGTGAATGGTTCGTGTTTCTCTACGCTCTTAGGGAACCGGCCACAGCTATTCGAACAATGCCTATTTATTTGCTAGATCGTTATCCTGATTAAAGTTCCAAAACGACTTTTACGGCGTGTAGGTGTACATAGTATAACGATCATCGCGCTGACAGTGGAGGAAAGACATAAGATGGCGGAAGCGGGACGTGTACTCTTTTCGTAATCGGGGGAAGTGGGGGGGGGGGGTTAACACGTAATTGCATAATTAAACGTAAATGCATTGTTCCCGAGAGGGGTCGAAATTAAACCGAAGACGCGTGAGGTAATTCGTTCGTAACACACCGTCCCAGAAATTGGTTCTGCAATCTTGTTCGCAACGTTCAGGGGGAGGAACACCGAGGTGAGAGAATAGTCGCGTAAACGTAACCGTGTGCGTAATATTACAGATATGAATATAGAACATAGAATTCGATTAAGTTCGTTTTTCCTTGGAATTTCTTCTGTCCTCCGATTCGTTATGAGGATACTTCGCTTTCGAGATTCTTCCATCGATTGTGTATAGAGAAAAATTGTCGGGGTAGAGGACTCTAACGTCTAACTCCTATCCAAGGTCAGACGACAAAGACATTCAAATGGAAGAAAACCAATTAGATGACACAAAGACCCAGGACCGAGGAACGATTCCCTCGTTTAGCGTGGTCCTACTACGGTCGGAACCGTGTGGTTATATGCCACGTTTGTCGGTCAATTAGAGTCCAGAACGTAGCACCGGTAACATAGAAGCATACGCTTGTCGGTGAACGTCCGCAGGGGGTCGTCGACCCAAGCCAGCCAGCCAGCCCAGGCCTTACTCGTCGTCGGCTTTAACGTTGCTTTTACCAGGCGCTACACCTTAACTCGTACGCTCTCCCGCTCGTGTCTCCTCTCTTTTCTCCCGTGTGCCCGCGACCTTGATCTGAAATTTTTCAAGCCTGCCCCCCCCCCACGGTCGATTCTCTGGTCAGGTAACAGGAGATGTGTCGTAATCGAGAACCTTTGAGACCAGTTCGGATTACGTTACCCCTGACGGATCTCGGACGACCATCGACTTATAGTCCTTAGTGCACTTTAATCCCTCTCAGAGTCGAGATTGGAGACTTGCCCAGAGTTCCTCGGTAAATGTTCTCTGTCCGCGAGAAAGAGCATTGTTGAATAAATTAAGTCGAGGAACGACGGTGACGTGGATTCGGTAATGGCCTCTCCGCGTTAGCTGAAAATTCGCATGCGATATCGTGTGCCTCCCAGCTGTTCTACGGGACCACCCCGTACTATTTTTGCAGATTCGGTATGATAACGGTCGACGAATGGCTGGAATCCATGTTACTTGGGGGTAAGGATCGATTTTCGACCGCACTGCTGGTCTTCGGTTCTGTGTCGAACGAATATAACCCGGTTCGATCGTAAGACATTCGCTTGAAGAACAATTACAGCAAATCCTCGATGAGTGTTCAAAGACTTCTCGGCACTGAACATTAAACAATTCATACACTAATGGCCATATTACATAAGCCAATGTTACACTTGGGGACTTCTCCTTGTCAGTACCATGGAACCTTCGAACACTCATCGATGATTTACTGTACACGTAAACAGTATGATGACTTCTCAGAAACTTTCAACCGACGTTTCGATTTTTAATAGGAACTGTATTTCTCAGAGATTCTGGGATAAGTGCGGTCCAACACAGTCCTCTTACCAGAAGGCACCCCTGCCTACCCTACTCCGTGGCACAAAGTTCTCCAAGAACAATGTCCTTATTCTTAAGAGGTAACGCAACAGAGGGCTGCTTATCGTCTCGAACTTTTCCTCATTTGTTTTTGATAAAGAAAGATGGTCCTCTGTCGTCGCGTGACACTAGAACGCTGTTCAGTCCAACGGTTCCCATAGACTCATAGACGATACAATTTGTCGTACGAATGAGATTAAACAATTGTTCGCGAAATGTCGTCTCATTCAAGGAGAAGTATTATATTGTTATAAAAATTGGAATTTCCACGTTGAAACGATTAAAAATGACAACGATTCGTTATTCGAAACTCTTTATCTAAATAATGAATTTACCCATCTCTGTCTACATGTTGTACGACAAATCGTATCGTTTATGAGACGTTTAAGTCCATAATCGTAAATCCTTGAATGGGAAAATAATGCCAGGCCGACCGCCTTTCCATTCTAAATACGTTGACGCTAACATACCGATTACACGAACGGTGGCTCCGAATCGGTACCAATTATCGCCACCAATTATCAGCCAACAGAGCTCCACGCAAGAGCCTATAGAAATTAGAGAAATTACAGAAATTCCTTATTCCTTCTGTTCACAGCAATTGTTCCGAAGTCAACCACAGGGTGCCACGCCGCAGCAGTTGCAATTGCTCCAGCAACAACAACAGCAACAACAGCAACAATATCTGGCCGCGTCCCAGGCGCAGCAGCAACAGCAGCAACAACAACAGCAGAATTTTCCAACAGCGCCGTATACCGTGATTAGCGGCCAGGAACCATACGTCGGTGCATTGATCGCCGGTGCACCGCCACCGGTCGTCCCGCAGTATTATGGAGTCGCGCCGTGGGTCTATCCGGCCGGATTGCTGCCGCAGGCGCCTCCACAAGCGGCCGCACCGCCGCCGCCCAGACGACCGCTGACACCATCCTCGGCGGCGGCCGCGGCAGCTGCCGCCCAAGACACCGCAAATAATTTGGCGCAGACCGTAAGCAGGGCTAATTAGTCTGTTTCGTTCGAGCAGGGACCACGTCGAGGCAGGCGCACGTGTTTCGAAATAAATCCTATTGTCGAGCGGCGGACCGCAGCAGCCGTATCTGCCCGTCAGCCGTCGTTTCGATTTTACTAGCCGATACACACGGTTCGCTTCTCGGTCACAAAAACCGTCTCTCTATCTTACACTTCCTACGTTCCCCTCCTCTTCTTAGTCGTGACATCACCGAGCTTGGGTTCCCCCGACGAAGGTCCTCGGTTGTGATTAAATATAAACTGGTTGCGATTTAACGGGCCATTAATGTCTTCGCGATACTCGGGGAAATAGTCGGGAATTCAGACGTTTTGGCCCGACTCCTCGTGGTTTTACTTCCCCTTCTCTCTTGTATGGTTCTATCGCATGGGAAACATAAGGGCTGATGACGATGATAATGATGATGTTTGTTGTTTTTTCCCGTAGGTTCAGGGCCAGTACCAGGTGATACCGGCGTATTACGATCAGAATGGATCAATCGTAATGGGTGGTGTACGTGGACTAAGCTCTGCGGCGACACCGATGAGATTGGTCAGTCCAGCGCCTGTGTTGGTGAATAGAGCCCCGTCGCAGCCGCCACCGGGACCGCCGGCTCCACCGCCGCCGAGTCTCTACTCGCAACCGACTCCCACGTCCCATAGTAACGCCACGCCTGGAGAGTGTTTGGGTAAGACACGGTTTTTGACCGCCTATGGTACGACAGTCGAGAGACTTGTAATTAAACCAGCCCAAGATCATCCGGTCGATGGTTCGTCAGCGTTGGAAATATGTGTGCGTGTGTGTGCTTGACAGTCTCCTTTCCAACATCTGTCCCTGAAGACCAATGAGTACCCCCCCGGACGATTTTGCATCGATACTCTTTGGAGGCGCTTGGGCCTTCCCATTTACGAGCTCCACGACCCCATATACATATTATGTCTGTATGTATGTATATATGTATATATGCATATATGCATGGCACATTGTAATATCGACGAGATATACCTAGTAAATCCGGTGAGGAAACACGAGCTTAATGTTGCAGTGACGTTTTTTGTTTTTGTTATATCCGTATATACATACATACGTAACTGGAGAGCGAACTCTCCTGTTTCCGAGAAAGTAGAGGCGATGGAGGTCCGAAGGAAAAGGAAGATACACGGTGAACCTATCTATCCTTTTTCTTCCTAGTATCCCCCTATTTATACATACTATTCTCTAGTATATTTGTGTGTAGAGGGGGTGTAGACACCCACCTTCTTTCTCGGACCGGCCCCAATCCCAAGGTTCTCTCTCCAATGAGTGGTAGAGCTCAATGACGTACATACATACATACGTGTATTACACGCCATGTATTAATCTCGTGACTAAAAAACAAGAGATACTAGAAAAATTGACGAAAAAGAGTACAGTAAATCCTCGATGAGTATTCGAAGTCATCTTTCCAAATATTTCATAAACTAATGGTCATATGCGTGTCCTTTTGTTAGTGCCGAGAAGCCGTCGAACACTCATCGAGAAATTACCGTAACATGTTTCGCATCGATGTCAATACCAGAAGGCGTGTGAGAGTGTTGTGTAATATTGCGTCGGAGGAGCGGTGTATCTCCGTTAGGCTTGATAGACGGTGTACGGTTGGTAAGGTTACGGCAGGATTAATCGATAACTAAGAGCGTGTGTGGGTTGCGGACTTTCGGTGCAGGTCTGGCGGCATGCAGTGCAGCAGCGGTGGTTGCACAGGCCCAAGCGGTCGCGGTGCAGCAGGCCCAACAGCAGGGATCAGGACTGGCCGCTGGTCTAGCGGCCCTGGGATACGGCGGCTCCCCACTTGGGGCACTGGGCTCGCCCGCTCAGCTTCAGAGCACAGGTACAGATACCCCAACCCTAGCCAACAAGACGAATCTTTGAAAGAGGAAAGCCCTGCTTCGGTGATAGGCATAACTTAATGGCGTGTCATCGATACTGTTTTGTACATAATCCGGACTTACACATGTTTGCATACTTTTGCGAGATAGCTTGTCTTTTCTACTACCGTGTGCATCGACACACACATTGTACATCCTCCTGCCAGTGGTGTCTTTCGTGTAGTAACAGTGTTTCCCAACCTAATAGTAATGCAAGTTCTGAAAAAGTTCAACATTAATATGTAGCTGCTACAAATAAAAGGGGCACATAAATAAAACTGTTGCTGAGATGACGAATGTCAATGATTTGTTAATTTTATCCCCCAAGGTATTCAAATTGTCTCTCAGAACCGAAGATAACTATGCGTGCACCCTCGGTGTCCATTTCGATTCGTGGCTTCTTGTTTGTTCACAGGTCTAGGTCTCGGGGCTTCTTCAACCGCGCGAAGAGATTCCTTCGACAGGAACACGTCCGCCTTCAGCCCCAGCTTGGAGTACAGTCGTGCAAAGTGGCCGCAGAGTTATGGTGCCCTTGGTAATAATCCTCGTCAGGAACTTCTTTTTCCCTTTGGTATTTTAGTTGGCGGAGATTTGAATGATCCGTGATCCGTGATCCGTGATCCGTGATTCGTAGGTACTGTAACAGCGTCACCTAGCCCGTTAGGATTGTCCTTAACGCCACCACCATCTTTGGGAGGATCTTTGGGCGGACTGGTCGGCGGAGCTAATCGAGTGTCCGCCGCTCCAGGGGCTGAGGCCAAGTTCCGTGCTAGTGCGGTACCAGCATTAACGGCTAACGGAGTTTTCGGCTCCAGCAGCTCCCTATTCCCGACCCTGGTCGGCAAACCTGGCCGCGGTGGCACCACCAGTATCGGGGACAAGAACGCTGGTGGACGATCACGTTTGCTCGAAGACTTCAGAAATAACCGGTTCGTATATTCGTCCAGCTACCTAATGAAAACGAGCACGACGATCTTCGTGTATCAGGTTGCCCGTGCGTAGCTGGCGTTATTCTCATTGGTGTTCTTTCTGTTTCAGATTCCCGAATCTTCAACTGCGCGATCTGGTCAATCACATAGTTGAATTCAGCCAAGATCAGCACGGTTCCCGTTTCATTCAGCAGAAATTGGAGCGTGCCTCGGCTAACGAGAAGCAGCTTGTGTTCCAAGAAATCCTCACCTCCGCTTACTCATTGATGACAGACGTCTTTGGAAATTACGTTATTCAAAAGTTCTTTGAGTTTGGCACGCCTGAACAGAAATCCACCCTCGCTCAAAAGGTGACTACCATTCTATAATTTCTATCTATTTATCCTGTCGCGTATCGAAACATCGAGTGAGAAAATGATGATTGATTGCGTGTCAACTGACATTAGTATCGCTGATCGAGTACATATACACAAAACTGAATTGACGCGTCGGATACGTTTCATTAAACCCGTGGGGTCTCGCTGTTTCTCACTGTCTCCTGTATTTCGTTTAGGTTCGAGGACACGTGCTGCCCTTGGCACTGCAGATGTACGGCTGTAGAGTGATTCAGAAGGCTCTTGAATCGATCGGGGCGGAACAGCAGCAGGAGATAGTCCGAGAGCTGGACGGACACGTTCTGAAGTGCGTGAAAGATCAAAATGGAAATCACGTGGTGCAAAAGTGCATCGAATGCGTTGAACCACGAGCGTTGCAGTTCGTGATCGGCGCGTTCGCCGGCCAAGTCTATTCGTTGAGCACTCATCCGTACGGGTGCAGAGTGATCCAACGTATTCTCGAGCATTGCACTCCTGAACAAACTCAGGGTATACTTCAAGAGCTGCACGCCGCCACTGATCAACTAATTCAAGATCAGTATGGTAATTACGTTATCCAGCATGTACTTGGTGAGTCACATTTTTCATCGTAACCAAAAACTATTTTCGAATCGTATGTCGTCCGGTAAGAAAATACCTTCACCCGTGTACGTCTGTTTTAAAGAACACGGAAAACCGGAGGACAAAGCGCAATTGATCAGCAGCGTCAGGGGTAAAGTACTTACCCTCTCGCAACACAAGTTCGCGAGCAACGTTGTTGAAAAGTGTGTAACCCACGCCACGAGACAAGAGCGTGCTGTGCTGATTGAAGAAGTATGCGGCTTCAACGACAAGTAAGTTTACATTTCCATATATACAACGAGGTCTGATGATGCTCGTTTGTCGTTGTTGGCCCGTCGTTAATTTCAACCCAGTTTCTCGCCGGGTGCGCATATTGCTAGGTTACGTAAAGTCGGAAATGTTCGTGTGACTAATGTCTCTCTGTACATGTTACGAAACAGCGCATTGAACGTTATGATGAAAGATCAGTATGCCAACTACGTGGTTCAAAAGATGATCGATGTAGCAGAGCCGGCACAACGCAAAGTATTAATGCACAAGATCCGGCCACATCTAGGCAGCTTGCGCAAGTACACCTACGGCAAGCACATCATTGTCAAGCTCGAGAAGTTCTTCATGAAGACCGCGTCCGCGATGGGAGTCGCAACGCCGGCTGGTGCTTCGAGCGGCGGGGGTGATCTTGGTCCCATCGGACCGCCTGCTTCTGCTGCTGGCCCAGTCTCGACGCCAGCTCAGCAGCCAACGCAGGTTCTATAAAGCGTACATTTTCAGAAAAGTAACAACTGCTCGGAGATCTTCGTACGTTTAAGGCAATACGTACCAAGGCCCACATAAATATTTATTGCAACGTATCTATCGCCATTTTAATTCATAATGGACGAGAGAGAAAAAACGAGAACACATTTCCGCGTACCGTGCTCGTCTGGTTGCCCCTTCTCCCGAAACTGTCGAGATGGAAAGAGAGTACCGATCCGAGAGAAGACAAAGAAAAACGAAAGAATTAACCAATGATGATTTTCTTATTTTTGCACAAAAAAAAAAAAAGAAACTATAAGACGAGAGAATCCAGACAGAATTTTATACAGTTCGACGGAGATCGGACGACCGAAGATCACGGCGCTAGGATAAAAAGAAAAAACTTCAACATCGTCAAATGTCTGTCAGGAAGAGATCAATTTTTGTAGGGTACCGTTAGAGGTGCAGTACATTTTTTTCTATTTATAATCGAACGTGCTGCCGAATAATATATTCGTAGCGGAGTGACACGTCGAAAATGTCGCGCGAAAGTTGCACCGATAACGTGTATCTTTGAGAACCGAGTTTCTTCGAAACAGTTGGACAAGCATCGAGCTTGGAATCGTAAATCGCGAAAGAAACTGCAGTGCTGAAATGGCTGTATGTCTAATCACCGCTCGTTTTAAACGAATCAGTTTGACGTAATTTCGATACACGGCACGAACATACGTTCCGACAATTTTCTAAGAAACTACTATTCTCCACCCCCTCCCCCTCGTTTCGGGTTGAACCGTTCTTTAACGAACACAGAAGTTGTAAACGATCCTTTTTAAAACTCAGCACTCTTTTAAGGGAGCATATAAAGCTCTGTCCTCTGGCAAACACTTAAACAGAACAAGCAAAGAAACAAAAAAATACGTAGAAAACCGCAAAAAGAAGAGAAAGAACAGCAGGACGAATCGCGGGGAGTAGCCGTTTCACGGCTATCCTCGCGGGTTCGTAGAACTCAGTAAACAGCAGATGATTCGAAGTGGTGAAAAAAATTGTGTTTAGACAGCTAGGATAGATCTTAGAGCTGCATGCATTTATATCGAGTTGTAACGTGAGTGCGATGGCCGTAAATATACCATGCACGAGACGTTTTGGTCGTGAGTGTACCGTGCCGCATCTTTGCACGCTGAAAGTAGTATTATATCCTCGCGTGCGGTACACGTCCGACCAACGAATCGGTATCGGTTCAGATTCGATAGATGGTTAGGAGCTACAGATACGTTGATTACAATCTAGCATAGCGTTTGACATGGGAATGAAGCTGAGTAACTCAGACCTGACCGCTGATCTGCCGCCATTCGTTATTCTCGTTTCACGTTTATAGAAAAAAGAATAACGTTCAAAAACGAACCGACATAATACACACGCACGCGCGCGCGTGTATTTATTCTCGATGGATAGAATTTAGCTGAAGCGATGAAAGGAACGGAAAAAAAAAATGAAACGGAAAAGATAGATGACAGAAACAAAACAATGAGGAGAGACATCAAGTCGTCAACACGGTTCTCCTTTGTTCGTCTTACGTTCGTCGCCTTCGAGCGGGGAGCATTTTTTTTCTACTCTATTAAAAAATCCTTTTTACATCCCCCTTCCCATTTCGATCCCCCCGCCCTCTCGCCCTAATCCTACCCCTTACCACCCCCTCCCTGCCTTGCCCTCGTCCCTGAGATCCTTGAATTTTGTAAATTGTGATATAAATAAATAACAAATGTGTATAGGTACGACGTGACAAACCCTATCGTGAGGAACCGTAAATTCAATGAATAATTTTATTTTTCACGGGAATTCTCCCCTTTTTAACGGGCTTTGTGAATATCGTGTATTATAATAATTACTAATTATATTAAATTTAAATATGATTTACATTCTAATGCTGCTGACCCTCGATCACAACATAAGTTACATCTCCCTTTCTCCTGCCGGTTGTCTCAATTTTTTTATAGAATGGTTTCGACATCCACCTCCCCCCTATCAATCCCCTACCCCTCTTCATACATACATTTTTCCAGTTGTAATATATAAACATGTTTAACAAAGGAGACGCTCCAGAGGAAAGAAATCGTTTATATTTCGGATTCATCCAATTCACAACTCCCACAACCCTCCACTCTCCAAGCCCACCAATCCATACAACACTCAGCCCCCCCCCCCCTTTATTTAAAACTAATCGCAGCCGCCGCAACCGCGGTGATTTTTGAACGTAACCGAGACCCATTGTACATTGTATAAATGCTAACGCGTTCTTTATCAAACAAAAAGAAACACGAAGAAAAGGGTCAAGAAATTAATAGTGCACCCCTCAAATACGTGTGTATCTATATCTCTTTTCGCGCCACATTGTAATCCTTCCAGTTTTTAAACGTTCACGCATGTCAGCAGACACACGAAATAATGTGTACACATCGAGCGTTTTCAATTTGTATATTTAAATGCCGATCACACACCCATGTATCAAGACGGTTGGAAAAGAACAGAACGCCTCTCAGCTGTCTTTCAAATGGAATCCGATTATCTTTCCTTTTGTTTTTCTCTCTCTCTACGTCTACGTTGTCCTTTTTTCTTCGTCCGAGTAAGTATGCGAATATTGTAAGGCAACGAGAGGCGAGAATACCGGCGAGATGCACATCGCGGCAAAAACAAACCAACAGATCCTCGCGGTTCTCTCCTCGCTGCTATCCTCGTCTCTCGCCGCCTCACTATAATCGCAGCGTAACGTACATGTTCCACTTTCGTCGTGCGCTTCGAATCCCTTACTCACAATTCGCTTTCGCGAAATAGCTTCGTTGATAGTGCATGCGTCGTTGATCGTTTTTTTTTCCCTCAAACGATTCCACGTTCCTAGTTTAACGTTCAATGGTTGTGTAGTAGTGTTTTCAGCGTGCTTCATCGTAGAGCATTTTTCTTCTTTTTTTAGCGACGTGTTTAGTTACGCGCGTGCAATTTCATTCATTCGAGATGCGCACCAACCCCGTCCAGGTGTACACGCCGAGGAGTACGAAGTAAATACGATTGCGTTCTGTAGAACTTCTTTGGGAGAGTTTCTCCAAACGTTTAGGACACTGATGATCGAACACGGAGCCACGAGACGTAACGTAAAACAATGTGTTTCATCTGAATCGCTTCACAGGGTGTAACGTAAATAAACGTGTGCGTGTGTACATAGAATTACTCCTCGAGGAATGGAGTCCCTTGGCAATTGTACAATACGAGAAGATGAGAACAAAATCTCTCGGTTTTCACAATTCATACACCGATCCGACCCCGTTACCACGCCAGGCGACCCCTTCTCCCCTCCGTTTCTATACACATCCGAGAAGAGTTCCTTGCGTTCTCGTGTCCCGAGGATAGGTGATATTGCTAAGATCGAGTTGTAATCTTAAACCGTTGTACAATGTGTAATATTTCGTTAAATACTTAGGTGTTAAATATTTGTAGAATTCTAAAAGGAGGAGATAGAAACCGTAATGGTGAAACGGGGGGAGGGGGGGGGCGACAAGAGAAGAGAAAACAAGAAATAAAGCCGCCTAAGCGAACTCTCGAGGCCCCGTGTCGCGATTTTCGGCAGAAAAAAGGGAGGAAAGAAACGAAATTACGGAAAGAGAAACTATAGACAGGAATAAAGAAACAAAAGACACAAACGAACGAAGAGAAAGCAAAATAGCCGCTTTTTTTGTAAGATATTGTAAATAACGATTTATTAACGAAAATTGACAAATTCTGAGGTACCCTTTTCCTCTTTCTTCTTCGCGTGCGGGGATCACTGGCCTCTGTTGCCGGTGACGCAACCGATTCACGAATGACAGAAACAAACGAAAAATAAAGAAAAGAAAGGAAAAGGAAATTGTTTCGAAAGGGAAGCGCGCGAAACGGCAGTGTATTCATCGGGTTTTTCAATCAATGGTTGTTCTGTTTGATTTTGTCTATCTTTTTATTTTTATTTTTTTCACATTTATTTTGCTCGATCCGCTCTCCCGGTCTCCCATTCTCGAGACACACCGTTGATATCGATCGACGGCGGATAGTACTCGTAGTAGCGTAGTAAATGTGTTGTTTGTCGTGTTGTTCCTCTCACCCATTCATCCACTCGTACAAAATTGATCCTTTCGAAAAATCGCTGAGAGGGGACAGACTGCTTGCTTGTTTAGGAGCCGTGAAACAGAAAAAAAAGAAAGAAGGGAAACTGCGAAATAGCGAAACTGTGTACATGCACGGATATCAGAACGAAAAACTCGATATATACAGACAGAGACATTCCAACCGCCATCTTTTTTTTTTCACATCCCCCGCCCCCACAGTCGACAAGTTAGTTATCTTGGTCGTTCACTACACGAACCATATAGAAGATGATCGACATCAATAACGCGTTACTAATATTTAAAATAAGGGAATGACGATATTGTTCCTTCGTCCCGCGTGTAAATGACGCGCGCGATCATTTGTAAATTGAAAAACGTGTCGGAAACGAACGTCTCATTTTTTGTAATAGAAACATCGATGTTAATAATCATCACATCTCCCCTATCCCCCCTGTCAAAGTAGGAAAACCCGCGAAAGAATGATAGGAAGGAATAAAAAAAAAAGAGGAAACGCATTACCGAAAAGTTATATATATTTGCAGAAGCGAAAAAAACTCGAATGCAAAAATCTCATGTCTTATCAGCTAAGGATTATTTCAGTACTATATTATACTTTTTATGATCATAATTATTA